GTGTTGAGAGTGTTGAGGGTGGTATGTGGTATGTGGTGTGTGGTGTGTTGAGTGTATTGAGTGTGGTGTGTTGAGTGTGTTGAGTGTGGTGTGTGGTATGTGGTGTGAGGTGTGTTGAGTGTATTGAGTGTGGTATGTTGAGTGTGGTGTGTTATGTGTGATGTGTGGTGTGTTGAGTGTGTTGAGTGTAGTGTGTTATGTGTGGTGTGTGGTGTGTGTTGAGTGTGTTGAGTGTGGTGTTTGGTGTGTTGAGTGTGGTGTGTGGTGTGTGGTGTGTTGAGTGTATTGAGTGTGGTCTGTTGAGTGTGGTGTGGTGTGAGGTGTGTTGAGTGTGTTTAGTGTTATGTGTGGTGTGTGGTGTGTTGTGTGTGTTGAGCGTGTTGAGTGTGGTGTTTGGTGTGTTGAGTGTAGTGTGTGTTGTGTGGTGTGTGGTGTGGTGGTGTGTGTGTTGAATGTTTTGAGTGTGGTGTGATGAGTGTGGTGTGTTGAGTGTTGTGTGTGGTTTGTGGTGTGTGGTGTGTTGTTTGTGGTGTATGGTGTGTGGTGTGTTGAGTCTTGAGTGTGGTGTGTTGAGTGTGGTGTGTAGTGTGTTAAGTGGGTTGAGTGTGGTGTGTGGTGTGTGATGTGTGGTGTGTGGTCTGTTGAGTTTGCTGAGTGTGGTATGTGGTATGTGGTGTGTGTTGTGTGGTGAATGGTGTGTTGAGTGTTCCGTGTGGTGTTTGGTGTATTGTGTGTGGTGTGTTGAGTGTGGTGTGTGATGTGTGGTGAGTGGTGTGGTGAGTGTGTTGAGTGTGGTGTGTGGTATGTGGTCTGTGGTGTGTTGTGTGATGTGTGGTGTGTTGAGTGTGGTGTGTATTGTGTTGAGTGTGTTGAGTGTGGTATGTGGTATGTGGTGTGTGTTGTGTTATGTGTGGTATGTGGTGTGTTGAGTGTGGTCTGTGGTGTGTTGAGAGTGTTGAGTGTGGTATGTGGTATGTGGTGTGTAGAGTGTTGAGTGTTGAGTGTGGTGTGTGGTGTGTGTTGTGTGATGTGTGGTGAGTGGTGTGTTGAGTGTGTTGAGTGTGGTATGTGGCATTTTTTTTGTTGTTATGTGTTGTGTGGTCTGTTGAGTGTTGACTGTGGAGTGTGGAGTGTGGTGTGTGGTGTGTTGTGTGTGGTGTGTTGAGTGCGTTGAGTGTGGTATATGGTATGTGGTATGTGTTGTTCGTTGTGTGTTGTGTGTTGTTTGTTGTGTGTTGGGTTGAGTGTGGTGTGTTGTGTGTTGTGTGTGTGTGTGTGTTGTGTGTGTTGTGTGTGGTATGTGGTGTATTGTGTGGGGTGTGGGGTGGTGTGTGGTGTGTGGTTTGTTGTGTGTGGTGTGTTTGAGTGTGGTGTGTTGAGTGCGTTGAGTGTGGTATGTGGTACGTGTTGTGTGGTGTGTTGTGTGCGTTGTGTTGTTTGTGTTGTGTGTTGTGTGGTGTGTCGTGTGTTGGAGTGTTGTGTGGTGTGTCGTGGTGTGTGGTGTGTTGAGTGTGGTGTGTGGTGTGTATTGTGTGGTGAGTGGTGTGGGGTGGGATATTGTGTGTGTTGTGTTGTGTTGTGTGGTGTGTGTTGTGTATTGTTTGGTGTGTTGTGTGTGGTGTGTGGTGTTGTGTGTTGTGTGGTGTATTGTGTGTGGTGTGTGGTTTGTTGTGTGTTGTGTGTGTTGTGTTGCGTGTGGTGTGCTGTGTGCGTTGAGTGTGGTATGTGGTGTGGGTTGTGTGGTGTGTGGTGTGTAGTGTTCGGTGTTCGGTGTGCGGTGTGCGGTGTCTTGTGTTGAGTGTGGTGTGTTGAGTGTTGAGTGTTGAGTTTGGTGTGTGGTGTGTTGAGTGTGGTTTGTGGTGTGATGTGTGAGGTGTGTTGATTGTGGTGTGTGGTGTGTGGTATGTGATATGTGGTGAGTGGTGTGTGGTGTGTGGTGTGTGGTGTGTGGTGTGTGGTGTGTGGTGTGTGGTATGTGGTCTGTGGTGTGTGGTATGTGGTATGTGGTATGTGGTGAGTGGTGTGTGGTGTGTGTTGTGTGGTATGTGGTTTCTGGTGTGTGATGTGTGGTATTAGGTATGTAGTGAGTGGTGTGTGGCCTGTGGTGTGTGGTGTGTGGTATGTGGTGAGCCGTGTGTTGAGTGGTATGTGGTATGTGGTATGTAGTGAGTGGTGTGTGGCCTGTGGTGTGTGGTGTGTGGTATGTGGTGAGCCGTGTGTTGAGTGGTATGTGGTATGTAGTGAGTGGTGTGTGGCCTGTGGTGTGTGGTGTGTGGTATGTGGTGTGTGGTATGTGATATGTGTTGTGTGGTTTGTTGAGTGTGGTGTGTGATGTGTGGTTTGTAGCCTGTTGAATGTGTTGAGTGTGATATGTGGTATGTTGTGTGTGTTGTGTGTTGAGTGTGGTGTGTGGTGTGGTGTGTTGAGTGTTGAATGGGTTGAGTGTGTTGAGTGTGGTATGTGGTGTGTGATGTGTGGTGTGTGGTGTGTTGAGTTCGTTATGTGGTCTGTGGTGTGTGGTTTGTTGTGTGGTGTGTGGTGTGTTGTGTGGTGTGTGATGTAGTGTGTGTGGTGTGGTGTGTGGTGTGTGGTTTGTTCTGTGTTGTGTGTGGTGTGTTGCGTGTGGTGTGTGGTATGTGGTGTGTGGTGTGTTGAGTGTGGTATGTGGTGTGTGGTGTGTGGTGTGTAGTTTGTGGTGGGTTAAGTAACTCAAATGCAAATAGATGGTGTAGCTTGTAGACAAAATATACTTCGCCTTTTCACCAAGTGTCATCAGTATTTTTTCATCATAAAATGTTAATGTTTGCCATTTACAATGAATGGAATCCTTGTCAGCAGACATTCCAGACTGACAGCTCTCTGCCAGGAATGTTTCATACCATATCATCTATAGGTGTGACACCAGCTCAGAACAAAAAAACCAAGCCTCTAAATGATCGACCTGTTTCTGCAGGGTTGGGTCACTGATGCAAGCTGGAACCCACATTTAGCCCAATATGTTCCTCGGTATGTCATCTTTATACCATGATGCCACTTAAACAATGTCCGCAGAGCCCGCTTGACGGATTCCTCTATAGAACATATCAGGACCAAATAACGAACATCTTTCCTCTGTGAGACCAATTTACGCTGTAGTTATCAACACTCGAGCAACCACAGCAATGGTAGGTAGACAGATCGTGCATGCGGGCTTTTGTAATGACTTCATGGATTCGTTACGCAGACATTGAGGTATTGCTATTTGCCAAACATTGTACTTCTGTACACGTAGACTGATGGAAACACGTGCACTCGTGTAAATCTCCAGTCAATCACAGCTAGTGAAACCTCCTCACCGGACCAGTTTTAGGTACAGGGATACGTATTTCTGTGACAACATACATTCCACGAGACTGCATGCCAAGAGGGATGATTTCCTCTTTCCAATAGAAAACTTACAAGTCTTTGGATACTTGAACCCATATTGTAGGCAGACAGTCGTTGGATACTTAGATCCATATTTGTAGGCAGAGCGTCGTTAGATAGTTAGATCCATACTGTAGGCTGAGCGTCGTTTGGTATTTAGACCCATATTGTAGGCTAAGTGTCGTTGGATACTTAGACCCATATTGTAGGCAGAACGTCGTTGGATACTTAGACCCGTATTGTAGGCTGAGTGTCGTTGGATACTTAGACCCATATTGTAGGCAGAGGGTCGTAGGATACTTAGATCCATTTTGTAGGCAGAGCGTCGTTTGATACTTAGACCCGTATTGTAGGCAGAGCGTCGTTTGATATTTAGACCCATATTGTAGGCTAAGTGTCGTTGGATACTTAGGCCCATATTGTAGGCAGAACGTCGTTGGCTGCTTAGACCCATATTGTAGGCAGGGCGTCGTTGGATACTTTGACCCATTTTGCTTAGATCCCTGTTGTAGTCTGTGCGTCACTAGAAACGTAGAACCGTGACGTATTATGTGCGTCGTTGGATACTTAGATCCTTATCGCAAACGGTGTGTCGCTGGGTACGTAAATACTTATGTAGACTATGTGTCGGCAAAATACAGTAATTAAATTTATTGATGCAATTTTAATGAAATTGTCTTTCAAAATATCCTGAGTTCCCTTAAATTGCTGGATCAGATGGATCAATACAAGCCGTCTCAGGAACGTCTTTAAATATACGAGTCATATTAAGAAGCAATCATTATTCCAACATGTAATGTTTTCATTATTGTACTTTTAGAGTTTCTGTTCAAATAGGAGATATTCCAGGACCTAAATAAATATAAACTGCCCTTGTCTCTGTATCCTCAATTATACCACTGTGACTTAACACAATCAATATCTTTTGTTCATAATTAACGAGGTAACTCGACTTGTAATAAAAGTATAATATTGACATGCGTCCTACCCCATTAAACTATCCACCTACAGCTAGATCAATGATGCCGCACCAATCCCCATTACACAAAATATCATAAACGCCACAAAAGGCAACTCAGCTTGTTAACCCTCTAACAGGTTACAGAGCGACAACAGTTACCGAGTCTCCGGTTGATGGCCCGATACACGCACCAACAGTTGTCTTCCAAACACAAGCGATCGACAAATCACATGGAGGACGAAGTCCCAGGACGACAGCCTCCCTGCACCGCTGTGGACCTCCCTGCTATGCTGTAGACTAATGAAAAGCCATTACACAAACCGTTTCCATTGAAAGATACCGCGAACTAGAAACCCAACCCAGATTGTGTCCTAAACGAAATTGTAGTGGAAGAAAGCCCCGACAATTGTATTCATTAATCGGTAGCTGTTCTACCAAACCAACCATCAAAACCAGTGCCATTATGGTCCGAAAATGAACGCATTATTAAAGTATTATGAACCAAAACACGATGCTTTCAGCCTCTGTTCCTGGCAATGTCTATTATGACACTGGCGGACTCGCTTTGTCTCTGTCGTCCAAGGAGAGCGAGCAGAACATGGGACGGTGGCTTTCTCTATGACGCGCGGCCACGTGATCACACCATTAGCATTTGTTTCCGACTCTTACGCCTCCAAGGGTTGAGGAAAGTTTTATAAACCACGGGTAAGATCCTGCCTCGTCCATTCCCTCCTCAGACCGACACCAACACACATCAGGTAGGGAACTTTTATTCCATGCAGCATAATCTCGGCTCCGGTGATCCACGGTAGCGCTGGGCGAATATATGATATCTCGCACTTCTTTGTTACTATAGTACATGGCTTTGCAGGATTCCTTGTCTCAGCTGAAACACGGATACTTATATTGTTAGCGATGTATTTGAATTATAACGGTTGATAGAAAATCTTTTTGTGATCTCTTAAAATGTCAGAACTGAATGTATTTTTTTATAAACTGAGAACATTCCAAATTATTTGATGATATTCAGGCAAGAAAATCATCAGATTTCGTTTGGATGTGACCAAATTTGACTGTTTAATCTTTAAGTAGAAAAATATTGAAGTCCCAGAATGTCGTTCATGGATTAAAATTTGTTGCATGATAAATTAGTCAAAGGTAAGTCTAAGAAATCTGGGAATTTAAACTAATTTGGCCTGAATGTTGTAATCCTCGCGTTTCGTTTCCTGTTTTAAGGATAAATTGTCATAAAAAGAAGAAACTTAAGATGAAATATAAATTTTCTTCAGAATTTATTCGGAAGTACATTTTATGGTTCTTTCATGATCGCTGTTTCAAAAGAACACGCATTATGTTCTCAATTTCCACTGGATATCAAATTCTCTTTTAATGAAAATTTATAATTTACAAACATGAGCGCCGTCGTGCTGTCAAAGTATGTGTTTGTCTGAAGGTAGCTCGTTAGTCGACATCGGCGGGATCTAGAAACTGGATAAGGTTATTGGATTGGACTTAGTGACCGTGAGGGGGGCGGAATCCATATTTCGTTTGTACAGCGGCTTCTTGTTTTTGTAGTTTTCTTGAGAACGAGGGTACATAGCTAGTGACTGGGGTTCTCTTTCTCTGGATGGTTTAACGGGGTCGCGAAATATGGTTAAGGCTGTAACTTGATGTAAATGTATTCAGTGAAGCGCCTGGTTTACAAAACACAAAGGCATACAATGAACAGCACCATCAGCTTCAAGCTCTATGTTGAACTACAACCTCTAATGCTCATCCCCGTAGCAAATCGTAACTACTTTGGAAGTTGAAATTGGCCATGATCTTCGATTAATCGTACGCATGTGAGAGTGACAGAAATAATGGTCAGTGTCTGATAGTGGCTGGTGTGGATTACCGAGTTCCATTGCGTGGCATCACGTCTACTCTGAGAATACATATTGCTAGCTGTTTCTATTGCATGAACATTTAGGCGCTCGGTTTCACGTATGAAGAGCCACGGCAGAAGGTTCAACCTACATGTCACAACCCTAGCATATATGTGTGATGATTAGGGATGCAGAAAATAATTTAGTAAAACTATTTTTAACAGTTTGTATTTGAGTATCTGAATATAATTCATCGTGAAACAAGAAGAAATAAAACATGGGTTGAGTTTTATCTCAGGGACCTGGCGCACGTAGTTTAAGTAGTTTCAGAGGCATTAAGGCAAATATGATTCACAGGGAAAATTGTTTAGCTGAGAGAAACTTAAAAACGTTCCGTGTGACGCTAGGGCCGCTTGGCACCTATGTCTTGTTCACTCTCGCTATGCTTATTGCACGAATGCTGCACGGTCGGCATCACGCTTGGCCTATAGGGCTGAACTGTTGGCGATGTCGTATTGATTTCATTGTGTGAGACAATCACTCCAGGAGAGCTGTGGATTAGCGCAGTAAACTGTCAAATATAGTTACAACAGCATGTTTCAAAATGATCTTCGATGGCTCTTCTTCGCGCACGTAATGAGACGATTTCAATGAAGTATCTGCTTTGCAGGTCGCTGGATGGTGTTAAACTCGAGACACGCTCACACATGGTGCCGTCGTTCTACACCGACGTTTACATACGACACCGTAACACACTTATATATACATGCTTGAGAAACTTGTTCCAAGAAAGACATGTCTGTTTCAATATGTTTGAAAGAGCAATATATGTAACCTTTTTAGGAAAACGCAGAGATGTAATTAGTTCTTTTATAAAATGCCCGACTCGTGAAGAACTTCAAAAGATGTCGTTTATTCTAAATAATGTTTCATGTAAAATGTTCAGTGAATCCCTCGATGCCCATCGTCCCATATATATATAGGACATGCAGATTCGATATAGGATCTCTGCTGATTATAAACGATTGTGATCTTTGATGTGTGTTTGATGTCCAAATGCTGGCGGTGTCTTCAAGAGGTGGCATTTGGCAGGTCGGTAGCACCTGATACAAGGCTAGGTAGGGCAACTGTATATGTCAGTGAGGTTGTTTCCCGTTGGAAGCATGTTTTCGTTATTCATGGCGAGGACTGAAAGCATGCCCTCTTTCATATGTCCACATAACGGTAATGCTTGCCTTAAAATACACCAGTCCGTCTGTGCGCCGCACTCGACTGAGAACTAAGACCTTGGGGCGGTTGACCGTGGCAGTCTGAGACAGTGTAGTTCTTTCATTTTCCAAGTAATTTCAGCAGTGATATTATGAAAGAGAAACATTGATTTTATCGAGTAGAAAAGTGTCTTTATTGACCAGTACGATGGTTTCTTTCTAACTATCTCAACATTTCTATACTCTCATCCCTTAAACCACCATCAACTCCATACTAACCACCCCAGCGCTACTATTGCGCCTCCGTCCCCGACTACATTGTCGTGCATTTCACACTTTGAGTGGCACCGAGGACCTGTGGCTGGTTCTTACCTGGTCCTCAACATGTCTCGTCAACGTCCGTCTTATCCAGATTAGCATGCATGTTTTAGTATGGTCTATGTCGCTGGTATTTACTGATTGCTGTCCACACCTTTGTTGTCGCCTGTCTTAGACCCCCGCGATTGTCTACACTTCTATTGTCGCCTGTCTTCACCCCGCGATTGTCCATGTCTTCGATTGTCGCCTGTCTTCCACCCCCGCGATTGTCCATACTTCTAAAATCGCCTGTCTATTCCGCGATTGTTCATAGGTTCATTGTCGCCTGTCTTCCACCCCCGCGATTGTCCATACTTCTAAAATGGCATTGTGTATTCCATGCTTCTATTGTCTACCTCTATTGTCGCCTGTCTTCCACCCCCGCGATTGTCCAAATTTCTATTGTCGCCATACTTCCACCCCCGCGATTGTCTACCTATATTGTCGCCTGTCTTCCACCCCCGCGATTGTTCATAGTTTCATTGTCGCCTTTCTTCCACCACCGCGATTATCTACCTCTATTGTCGCCTGTCTTCCACCCCCGCGATTGTTCATAGTTTCCATTGTCGCCTGTCTTCCACCCCCGCGATTGTTCTACCTCTATTGTCGCCTGTCTTCCACCCCCCGCGATTGTCCATAGGTTCATTGTCGCCATACTTTTTCTTCCACCCCGCGATTGTTCATAGTTTCATTGTCGCCTGTCTTCCACCCCCGCGATTGTCCATATTTCTATTGTCGCCTGTCTTCCACCCCCGCGATTGTTCATAGGTTCATTGTCGCCTTTCTTCCACCCCCGCGATTGTCCATGCTTCTAAAATGGCATTGTGTATTCCATGCTTCTATTGTTGCCATACTTCCACCCCGCGATTGTCCACCTCTATTGTCGCCTGTCTTCCACCCCCGCGATTGTCCATACGTCTATTGTTGTTCATTATTGCCGACTATTGTCCCTGTCCACTACGATTGTCCATATATTGTTCCATTGTCGCCTCGATTCTTCTGTCACCCCCCGCGATTGTCCACACTTCTATTGTCGCCCGTCTTCCCCTGCCCCGCGATTGTTCATAGGTTCATTGTCGCCTTTCTTCCACCCCGCGATTGTCCATTGTCGCTTCTAAAATGGCATTTCTATTGTCGCCCTTATAGACCAGCACATGCTTCTATTGTTCCTTTACTGTGACCCCGCGATTGTCCTACACTTCTATTGTCGCCTGTCTTCCACCCCCGCGATTGTCCATACTTTCTATTGTCGCCATTCTTCCACCCCCGCGATTGTCCATAGTTTCTATTGTCGCCTGTCTTCCACCCCCGCGATTGTCCATACTTACTATTGTCGCCGATTGTCTTCCACCCGCCGCGATTGTTCGATTAGGTTCTCTTGTCGCGCCTTTCTTCCACCTCTCTTGTCCCCCCGCGATTGTCCATCGTCTTACTTCCACTCCAGGATTGTTTATATCGGCTTGCTTCTACCCCCGCAATTGTCCACCTCTTTTGTCGCCCCCGCGATTGTCCGCACTATTGTCGCTTTACTTCCGATCTGCGATTGTATACCTCTATTGTCGCCTTACTTCCACCGCCGCGATTGTCCACACTTCAATTGTCGCCTTACTTCCATCCCCGCGATTGTCCTCACTATTACCGCCTTACTTCCACTCCGCGATTGTCCACACTATTGTCGCCCCTTACTTCCATCCCTGCGATTGTCCACACTATTGCCGCCTTACTTCCACCCCGTGATTGTCCACACTATTACCGCCTTACTTCCACTCCGCGATTGTCCACACTTCTATTGTCGCCTTACTTCCACTCCGCGATTGTCCACACTATTACCGCCTTACTTCCGTCCCCGCGATTGTCCACACTATTGTCGCCTTACTTCCACCCCGTGATTGTCCACACTATTACGGCCTTACCTCCGTCCCGCGATTGTCCACACTTCTATTGTCGCCTTACTTAAACCCCCGAAATAGTGTGCTTCACTACTCCGTTCTTTTAACCCTCCTCCCAAAAGGCTGGGGCGTGGCTGGGAGGAGTTATACTGAACACAGCCCGCACACAGGAAGGCAAGTACACCGTATATGATGCAGAGATATCACGAGGATATTTTAACCATGTTCTGGACAATACAGTGTGAATGTAGAACAGTGTGTTCTAAATATTCTAATTCAACAAACCGACGCATTAATATCGAAACAACTTGCACGTTTTACATTGGCCATGTGAACCTGTAAATTAAGCAAACATGATGCCGCTGAAAGAAAACATTTTCTTTTATATTTTATTTCTGTATCGATTTCGGTGTGGAAGCACTGTTTTTGTGGTAGG